AATTAGATTGACGCATATATTACACGCTTACATCTTGTACGCAGGGGAGACCGTCCTTAAATGACCATAGCTGTTGATAGGACGTTAAACAATACTAAACCAAACCAAACCAAACCCCAAATTTTGCCCTAATTGAATTCCCTGAACGTCTGGATGACATCGAGCGGGGTTTCCCAGACATCCTTGGAGAAAGCCCGAGTCTCGGCTTAACTTGGCCTGAGTTTTAGCTCCAATACTAGACCTACCAGTGGGCGATACGGCATATCTTTTTTATCATTGTAAATACCATTCTTTATTTATTGACTATATATCAGTTCATCTAACTTTGTAAACATATCCTGCCTTTATTTTAAATATTTTCTATTTATCATCCGAGTCGGGACGACCTAGGACGAAGAAGCTAAATATGTCAGTAACGAACTCATAATAACTGTAACGCTTCAGTGAATATTAAAGATACGCGACCCCCGTAAATGCAGCAGTATTGTCCAATCGGAGCAGTATTGTCTATGATCGATGCACCGAGAAGTGCTAGAGCTGTTAAATGATTTTCCAGAGTCAACAACGTTAGGTAACACAGAAAGGATGTCAAAGATATATGGCACAATAAGTGGCCTTGGACATACTGAGTCCCTTACCAGAATCCACTGCTTGATAATTCGCATAGTATTTCAGTGAGATAGCAATATAAAGTCGGCATCAGATCCGCGCTATCACAAGGAGGCAAGCACCCAAACATACCCTGTGTCCTGCATGTACACACGCAAGCTTGCATACACAACACACACGAAGGCAAGTCCTTAAATGACTTTAGCCGTTAATATGACGTTAAACAAAATTAAACCAAACCAAACCACAGAGAGGAAATTGTCCTCTCGCGATTACGCATAGGCAAAACCTACATCACACATAGCTACATTTTATAAATGGAAGAACAACATTATTGTCATGCCTACGATCAACCTATTACAGTCAAACACTTTATGATTGAATGCGCTGATATCAAACAAATACGTGACAGATTGTGTACCCTCAATGAAAAGTTTATTTGATACAGTTTCTGTGCAATCAATCGATGATTCTTTATATTCAATTAATCTCTCTAGTATGATATGAACTATTTTATTAACAATTCGTTTGCTATTGATATATTTTGACATCTTTTACACATTTTAACCTCTTGTTTCGGGGTTTTATGTATTCATTTTTTTGTGAATGTCTATTTTTTACATTGTTGTTTGGCCCTAAATGACTCAAATTGTCGGTGGGCCGTAAAACAATACAAAATGCAAATATATGCATTTCCAAGTTCAAAACGCACTCTTAAATTCGCATTTCGCGGCGTTTGTTAAAAAAGTAGAACAGTTCATGGAATTGCTCTCCGAATGTAGTCTAGACTTTCCCTGTAAAGAAATAGTTTGTGGAAATAAACACAAAAATATCGATACGATTTCCATAATTTAATCAGTAAACATATCCAATTTACATAATATAATATTCTTACATAATACGGTAAATATTTGTGGATGGTAGTGGTTATTTTGCTTATATATGCTTGCTAGTGCGGAGGGAAATACGGTGAAGCGATCCGGTATTTAGTTGCACCTGCGGAAAACCAGTTGAAAATGGTTTCAGGCGGGAGGCTTTTAAATGTGAGTAAAAGAGAAACTACAGCCGGTAAATGTCGAATTTCCAAAGAATCCCGGTGTAATATTGTTGGTTGATTGAGGTTTCATTTGTGTGGTTGTGCCTGCTTGTGTTGTGTGTTCCTAGATGGAATATCGATACAGCTACTGCGTGACTGCCGCGGCCATTATCATCAACGAACGATGTGCTACTAAATAATGGCCGACTGTGATTTAGAGGGAAGTGCGCGGTGAGACTGTAAATGCTTACGATAGTGTCGTACTTTATGATTTATTTCGAGTTGTAGACATGTTCCTATTGCCCTCAGTGACGCTTCACTTTTATGACCACTCATACACATTATATGGCTGGTTTTGTAACATTTGTCGTTTAAAAAATGGATAGATGTTGCTCGGAGACAGTGTGGTGTGTATTTTGTTTCAATAGACGCTGCCCTGCATTTTTTTTTTTTTTTTTTGCTAACGGTTAAGCAGTGAACCAGATTTGGGCATGAGTTTAATAGAGGACGGATTCTTTGGTGTACTAATTGAATAAATTAACTGCATTTGGGTCAGTTTTGTTTATCAATCGCCTCAACATTTCGACGGGACAACTGGATGTGCCTGTGGCATACATGCGTTTCTCAGTAGCTGGACATTTTATGGACATGGATTTTACACCACCCTGATGATTCTTTTCTTGAGTTTTGTGATCTAAAATGACGTATTTACCGGATTCATCATGGTGAAATGATTTATATCTATCTATAACGATAGCAAAGTATAATGTGACGTCATATTTTATGACTTTGTAATTTCTTTTTATAGTATATTTATGGATGTGTGTAAATGAGAAAAATATCCAAAATACTTGTGATGGTTAAATATATAAAAAAAAAATGACAAGTGTCACTTCGTACCTCCCTAGTACTTTCACTTCCTTTGATGTTCATCGGGGGAAACTTCCTTCGGTGTAGACTGGCATCGATATTTTTCTCATTCACACACACACAAATACATATACTATAAAAAGGAAACAATCTCAACAACATATCATTGTCGCTAAAGCGAACTATTAGGTGACGTCGTAGTTTATGACCTTGTCATTTCGTCTCGAAATAACCAGTCAGAAGAATATCTTTGATGAGATAAAAACGCTAATGACATGTTGTTGGGATTTGTTTTGTTTTTTATAGTATATAGATACATGTGTGAGTGTGTGTGACAAGAGTTTCTTAGTACCTCCCTATTAGTTTCACCTCTTTTGAGGTTCATCAGGGGAAACCTCCTTCGGTGACTATTGGTGCCGTCGCGTATAGACATCATGTTCCCTTCCTTTTTTAGCAAGCGGCGCCATCTCGAAGTGAGGTTCATTGATTGTCTTACACATTTTTCCGCTCTCTCATAACTAATCTTTGTATTACTTACCCTAACCCACACCTCGTATTAATGTATATAGGAATAATAACCGTCCCTAATCCCGTTAGATATTTATTATGTTGAGGTGGGCCCAGCACTGAGCGCAGAGACAGACACTGACTAACAAATTCAGGGAACATTTCAAAATATCTTTTCATTGAAATTCTATAAATGATCCTTGTTTTGGCGCCACAATGTAAAATACTTGCTGTCTTTACTGATGTTTCGTACTTAAAGTGATTTCATTATGGCTATTGAGTTACTTCCCTTGACTGGTGTCACTTTACCAAATATTGTTTTCAGAAATAAGTTAGTATATATACAGTTACATTGGAAAGAAGACAGGTACCCAATCGTATCGCGAAATAGCATTAACACAGAGTTTGCTTCTTAGATACATAGCCATTGTAAAACCTGGGACATTTCAATATTCAGGATCTAAAATCTTCTCTCTACTTCTAGCTACCTTTGGTCTAGTGCCTTGCTAGGTAAAACCGTGCATTTAACTTCATGTTTAACAGTCGCCAGGTGAGGAAGGCAATAGGTTGTGTCCGAAAGCCGGACATAACAAGGTCCATGAAAATGGTATTTGTTGTTCCATGCTTAAAGCTTGGCATTTAAGGTAATGCTAATTCTGGTTCACCCGTTTCAGGTATAATGTGACCGGTCGGAATGCTGTACTGGGTGCCTTCGGCATGGTATTTAAGTGAAATAGCATTATAAAATTGACGTCAGATCCGCGCTTTCACCAGGAGGCATATACACTAACAAACCCGTCTCCGGAACGCATACACAGAGGCGTTCTGAAATGACCTTAGCTGTTGTTAGGACGTTAGACCATGTACAACCAACAGCTAGAATATATTTTACTAGTGACATCGTTAAAACATGTTTTTAAAACAGTGTATTTCAAAAACTTCTTCATAGTATATCAAAGTAATTCAAGATCTTAATTTATGCTAATGATACATTTGATTTCATTGATGCTAATGATGCATTTAATTACCTAGAAACCGTTTTCAATCAAGAAATGACCTAACGAACAAATTCATTCATCACTGTGACGTTAAACCCTGATCAATAATGATCGTAGGACACGTGTGATTGCACCTATCCATTTTGTTAATTGATACAATGTGCTAAAATTAGATTACACTGAACCTTACAGCTGTTTCGTCCTTCTGGAGCTCATCGGTGATACTAGGGGCCGAAAGTAGTAGGAATCCATATTGGCACAATAGAAGGTGCATACAAACCCTTCATCATATGATTTTGGTTATTCAGAAAGTATTGGTTTTTTTTTATATATCAATGAGTAAAGTGTACATATTATGAATCCTGCCACTACTCAAACAGAGAACTGTGACCAAAACAGTTACGGCAAACATCGGAGGACTAAGGTATTTACAAAGAAAGCAATAGCACTGGTGTTGTTGGGATTGTTAGAAGAGGGTAACTTTAAAAACTTCTTGTTAAGTCAAACCGTCTATAAAGTTACTCTAAATTGTAACAAAACCGTAATTTGAACTCAACATTCAACGAAAAGTTGAACAAAGATAAGATTTACACGGAGAACCTTGCAATAGAACAAAGAGAATCAAACCAAACAGGAGATAACATCTACTAATGGCAACAATGCTACCATGTTCCTTATTAATCTTTCTTTTCTCATACTTTGTCCTTTTGTCATCGATTTTGAGTTCAAGTTACAGCTTTGTTTACATTTCGGTATCCGTTTACCCTCTCCAGTCGAGTACCTAGCTATGGTAGCAATTAAGTTAAACCTCTCATTAACATATACACACACATATATTTATATATATATATATATATATAAGTAAAGAAAGTGCATACATTTTCTCAACCACAGAGTATACAAAGGTATGACCAAAGTACAACGGTATGAGTATTTATTCAAGATCAAGCTTATCTGCATATTAATACCAGATTGCTCACGTCAAGGGTTAACAAACATATAAGCTTTCACAACTATGTAAAATTCTATCACAGTATATACATCATACCACCAGCTACAAATTCGACATTTCCAATCATGGCAAGGAAGTTTATAGGGAAATGGATTCCTGAAAAAACATATGGCGAATTAGAGGGCTTTGACGCTTTCCACGCAGCATTAGGTACGTTAATACCTTCCTGCAACTTAATTTTCCATTAGCAAAGATACATAAAAGCTCAAAGAATCTCTTTTCTGTGTTATGCACAAGTAAATCTGCTCTGGTGACCAAATATTTAGGACGATCCGACCTTTTTTTTAAGACAGAAACTTGATCATTTACATATCACAACTTCTAACAGAGATTATCAATAACACAACAAAAACTAGATAAATAAAAGGATAGTATAAAATATATAAGTGTAATGAACAATATTACAATGTAAATAAATAATATTACAGGATATTGTATTATATATATATTATATGTATATTATAGGAACGGACTGATGTTCCTTTCCTGTTTATTGATTTTAAAATAACTCCTGAAAATATTTTTTTTTCTTTCTTTTATTTTACTTTCTAAAACATATAAAACAATTCTCACTGGTAACAGGCATTGATCCAGCAATGGTAGCAAAGTACAAAGAAATAAAGACCTCATTGGAATATACTCAAAACGATGACTCATGGACCGGCATCGTCAGTGTTAATGGCAATGTGGTGAACACATATAAATTCTCTTTCGACAAAGAAATGGAACAACAAGGCTTAGACGGCAAACCGTACAAGGTATCTATGATAAGGTGCATTTTAATTCAAAAATGGTTAAAGGTTGTTTACTTCGAACATATGAAGTAAATAGTTGATTCTTGTTTAAGCAAAAAAATGCATACAACAGGATAATATACAGACAAAATATGCATATACCAGAATCACAAAACAAAAGAACAAAATAGAAACGGCGAAAATACAGAAGACGAAAATTTACCACAATGATAACAAACAAGAACAAAATATACCATTGGGTCAAAATACAAGGACGTTTACCAAAGCATCAACATACAACGACAAAATATACCGTATATAATAAAGCATCATCACACCTGGACAAACTATACCTTAGCGACAGCATACATGTACAAGGACAGACTATACCTTAGCGACAGCATACACGGACAAACTACACCTTAGCGACAGCATACATGTACAAGGACAGACTATACCTTAGCGACAGCATACACGGACAAACTATACCTTAGCGACAGCATACATGTACAAGGACAGATTATACCTTAGCGACAGCATACACGGACAAACTATACCTTACCGACAGCATACAGGGACCAACCACACCACTGTGACAAAACACATGGACGCAATAAATCAATTTTTATATCATACGAGAACACATCAGAGCACTGTGATAACACACATGGGCAAATTGTAAAATAAATAACGCCAGGGGGGAAATGTTTAAAAGTAGGAGTCGACCATTAACCCCACAAATACGGGCAAAACTGTTGAAAACAATGGTAAAACACGATTGATTCCCATCAGTTTTAGCATGGTGAGGCGATTTGGTTAAAGATCAAAATGAGTTTGGGACTCAAGACAGGCCTTTTAATTGGCAATTTGTAGCTATAATACTACATTTTGGTATACAATACATGTAGCAACATCCTTTGTGTAATGCAGTGCTATTTAAAGATGGATGGTGACGTCTGGATGGAAGACTCTTTTCCAAAAGATGGAAGCAACAAGGGAACAACAATACAAAGGACGGTCAGCGGTGATATAATGGCAACTGTAAGTCATTGAAAGATAATAAATATTCTAATATATTATTTTATGTTTATAATATAGAATAGATGGAGTCTCTTTCCCCTTAGCTGCATGGTATTTCAGTGAGATAGCACTATAAAGTTGGCATTAGATCGGCGCTACCAAAAGGAGGCAAGTTCACCAACATACCCTGTCTCCGTCACACATACATTTAAACACATGCACTCTTACACAACACACATGGAGACACGTCTTTAAATGACCTTAGCTGTTGATAGGACGTTAAACAATATAAAACCAAACTAAACGTTCCACTAGCCTTTTGATGTTCAACATTAGGGACGCTATTGCTGATGATATGCTGTTTATTTCGTCTCTATTAAGTTCTCTATTCAGAAGTTATTTATCAAAGCTACAGTTTTGCCGGATTTTAGTTTGTAAGGCATAGTTACGTTTTCGGCAGTGATACATTGATCCTTAATGGTACATATATTCTTCCATCGTAAAACATAGTATATGTATCAAAGTATCCAATTTTTACTCTTCTACAATAACATGTTTTACACAGTTCATATGCTCGCCTGTTCACAGCCGTATGTATTATGTTGAATCCTATACATTTTTATTTTTTGTGTGGCAATGACCGTCTATATCCGTTCTATAAAGATTTTCATTTCGAGGGTCTACTTGGCTGGTATTTGCAGTGTGTAAATGTATGAATACATAGTCTGATAACTTCTTCTACGTTTGGTTTTTTATGCTTAACGTTCTATTAACAGCTAAGGTCTTGTAAGGACGTGCCTCCATGTATGTTGTGAATGCGCGCCGGAGGCACGGTATGTTGTTGTAGTTGTCTCCTTGTGATAGCGCGGATCTGCTGCAGACTTTATATTGCTATCTCATTGAAATACAATGCCGAAGACACCCAGCACACCATTCCATCCGGTCACATGCTGACAACGGGTGAACCAGCTGTTGCCATTTCCCTAAATGCTACACGTTAAACCGGGCATAACAAATACCATTAAAGGACTTTGGTATGTCCCAGCCTGGTGAGAGAACCCATTGCCTTCCTCATCTGTGCGAACGTTCATCAGTAAAGCCAAAAGTGAGGTATTGCATAGCAGGGCGCTAGAAAGTAAAAGGAAGTTATAGGTAGAGAGAGAAATATAAGATCCCAAATATTGCAATCGGTGCAGCAGATTAACAACATTTGTATTTTGGTGCGCAAAAGTATATGCACAATTCTGCAGGGGTTCCAACATTAGTTGTCTCTTACTAAACATTCAGTGGGTAACAGCAGGTGTATTTATTCTCGATCCATGGCCTCCAAGGGTACCTCTGCTACGATTCATTATTCAAAATTCATCAGCACTCAAATCGCCGATTAATCAGACATGATAGCTTTGTTTTATATGGTGAGTTTGTGCAGGACATAGCGCATGGAGTCAGCTGGTTCTCTGTGTTGCTGTTGGAGTTATTGACCTGATTTCGCCGATAACAACGCAAAATTTTGAATTGTAGGGTGACAATCAACCAAAAGCAAATCTCGTATATCAATGAAGGTGTAAGCGATAAGCCGCATTAATGTTGCAGTTTGGTTTGACTTTGTTACATGTCCTATTAACAGCATATGTTATATAGGGACGTGTCTCCATGTGTGTTGTGTAAGCGTTCTTTATGATGCAGTTATACTGGTGTAACTACATAATGTGTCGTAGAAGATATGATACTTACAATGTACCACCTCATTTTATCGTTTCAGAAAATAACAGCCAATGGCACCGAACCGCCTGTCTCTATAACGATCCCGAGGAAACGCCAATAGACTGTTACAAAGTATCTGTTTCAATAACGATGCGTTAGTATTGCTTCACGTAGGTTGTGGCTTACATATTAAAAAATAAACGTTGTTCTGATTGAGTTTAATTAACCATGGAACTGTGCTGCTATATCTTTCACAGTCTATACGCCTGACTAAGTCTTGCAGACATACGTCATAATGCGCGCTAGTCCATCGCTTTATTGTATATTCACCGCTTTGATTTTTATGTAACGGAAATTAAAATGTACTTAATGAAACTGGGATGTTGTTCAAATTCGTGTATGCTTGTTCAGTCAATCGACAAACCATCTTCCATAAGGGGTCTGTGTTCTCTACACACCTACCAATCACGAAGTCAGACTGATTATGACGTAAACACGTCTTTTATGGCATTTACGGCCTCTAAAAATACTATCAGTACTTGGAATGGTTACATAGTGGTAGTGCCAAAGTTTAAAAAAAATATACTATAAAAAACAAAAAGGAAAATGGTAAAAGACTGCTGTCAGAAACCTCAAAAAATACAGATAAACAATACAATATGCACAAGCCTCACAAGTACTCTGCTGATTTGAGCGTTCCTTGTACAAATGTGGCACCCGCCAAGAATACTCCAATCAAATTTAGAAAAGAATGAGAGTCGCGGTGACAGTCGATCATGAAGAGGGTGGTTCACGCTGGCCCCTACATATTTTGATTTATTTTTACATAATTCAATAATTGGGATGTTATAAATGTCAAAATATTATAATACCCTTGAATAGAACAAACACTTTATTGCGGCTTCCTATACACTTTTTTTCACTGTTCAGAAACACACCCAATGACCTTTCTAGCAAAATCGTACTTTTGACTATCATGACTTTAAATTTCTCCCAAAAAAAAGATGGTATGCAAAATTTATTTGCAAATTTTTCTTTTGAATTTCACAATATTCTGGTAAGTGAAAGGATAGACATAATATAACTGGAGTACTTTAAATGTCGTCTGTAAAATTAAATTGAAGTATTTTTAGTCAAAAATGAGTATAGACATATTAACATTTCACTTCATGGGGAAATACATTTTTGCCAAGTCACAAAAGGAATAAAAAGTGAAGATCAATGGGAACGACATGCCTATAACGTTTTCACATGTTAATACACATCCAAGAAAAAAAAAACTTTACATTACACACTCCAGATTCTACGAGAAACGCGAGGAGAGCGCTCACGCACAAACTCCTTGCATTAAATTATATTTTGATTGTTTGCTAAGAAATGAAACTTTCTGCACATGTTGATGCCACACACATGATGAAACTACTCTCTATGAATATATTAACAGAGAATGAGATTTATTAACTGTTTGAGGGCCACATGGTTGAACCAAAAAAACAAAAAAGATCGGGAGGGGGTGCAAAGTGTATATTCAGACATTTTAATTATGTACTAGATTTGTTTTATTTTACTGATATTTCTGCCTTTATTTATCATCTGATATATCTAGAACGGTACTATTGTCTTGTTTGCTACGGATTTGGCGAGAGTTGGATATTGGCATCAACGGTAAGCTATTTCATCATAGGTGAAACATCTAGTGTTCTATATGTGTCGGAGAACTGCACAAATAAGCAACATTTTCACAAAAGTTATGTTTCACCATTATAAATAATGAAAAAATATCAGGTGTGACATTTAAAACAATTATTGATATACTGAAAACAAATTTAGTCACCTTTTCTACCTGGCCTAATTTGAAGTAGATGCTGTATTTTCAAGTAAAATTCCACTGTCACTGTATTCTTAGAGAATCAAACTGGTATCCATTAGAAACAAGTTTCAAGTGTTGTCAGTCACAACAAAAATATCAATCCTCAAAGTCACCATATACGCCATTTGCATTCATGTTACACAACCGGAAAGTAGTCCCATGGTCATTAGGTGGAGGGGAGGCCTGATGTAATAGTGCGATTCATTATTGCGAAATTTCACCTTTTCTCTTACTTTATGTACCCTAGACAGATTTATCCTTACTTTGGCCGGTGTGAGATTTCCTTGTCTCGCCCTAGGGATGAGACAAGCTACACGTGTTCTTTGAACGTTCTCCACAATAAACATGACGTCCCTGATTGATTTTAAGACGTTTAAAATCTGTGATCTGGTAAACGTTGGATCAGAAGGATGCTCTATGGTGTAAACAGAAGGATTTATAAAACACTGTTCAGGCAACAAACCAATGGCCGCTAATAGAATTAATGACAATGACATAGACTTATTGTACAAGTGTGGTCAATTGGGGACAGACTCTCCTCAAAGCTTGCTAAACACGTTATGGCTGAACAATACATTGCGCTTTGTAATGACGCGAGGGGGAGAGGAGCATAAGGCCATGTGTTTGGGGGGACATTGGATTATGTTTTGATATCGAGCTGATGATTTATTATCATACAATGAAATAAAAATCAACTTTTCAAATCATGATCATCCTTCCTACCTACAATTTGTAGCTATTGTGAAAAATCACACAAAACCCGGTAAAAATGAGCAATGGTTCCTGAGAGGACCTGTCGAAGGAAACAAATTAGCACACTTGCTGAAAAATATTGCAAAAAAAAATGCACACTTGGTCGGACTGGAGCACAAACGTTTGACTAACACGAGTGTGCGGAAACATTTGTGTCAGAAGTTGTTGAAGACGGGAATTCCTGACACTTAAGAAGTCCACATAACGGGACATAGGTTCACCTGTTCACAAGCAGATTTTTTCGCTTGAGATCGCGGTGTTTAGAATAGCTATTATTGGCAGGAGCTATTTTTTTAGCATCGGCTTCTCTAAACTAGAACTTACCACAGTACAAACTGTCTACGGGTCATTTTATAACGTAAATGCTTCGTGAGGAGAGATATCTTTCGACACCTGATCGATATTAAGGATCCCTTTAACACTGCCAAAAACTGCACATTGTGAACCGTTAGGTTTTTTCCCTGCAAAACCGTACCTTTTATGGGGAAAAAATAAAGTGAAATATGCAAAATATAATCAACAACCGGAATTTGAGCATGATAAGCTAGGTATTTGAAGTTCACCAGGACCTTACAATGATAAACGTGATCTACCTATTCAGTGGAACAAGTGCACAGGGACAGGAGTTCTAACCGGTATTAGTCGACTAAATAGTCTTTTTAATCTGCAAAGTTTAAATACATAACTCGCATGACTGCCGCACAATAGACGGGTATATTTAATTTGTAAATATTACCACTAAGCTAATGTAAGTAGGCGCTATCTACAGCTCTGTGATATTTTCACGATAACAGGTGTGCTTTAGAAAATTGGCTGGTATGAGAATTACGGGAATGAAATTTTAAAAACTGACATGGGGTCTGTCGTTTTTCATCAACGGTTGGTACAATCCGTTAAAAAAATACGGTGCCTTCCTCACCTGGGCGAACGCTCAACATTTTGGCCAAAACTTGGGTGTTGCCAACCAAGACGCTAGGAAATTAAACGTAGTTAGAAGTAGAAAGAAAGATAAAGATTCCAAATATTGCGAGGGGTGCAGGAGATATTTTTTTTGGTCGCTTCTGTGTCCCAAAATAGAGGACACCAAAGCAAATCCCCCGTATTAGAAAAGCTTTGAGTCTGTAAAAATCGTTGTTTCTACTCCTGATTAACGCTCAGCAATTTAGGCATTAGACGACTGATTCGCCCTTTTTCAGTATAATGTGACCGGATGGGGTGTGCTACTTAGTGTCTTTGGCAGTACGCTTCAGTGAGGTAGCACTATAAAGTCGGCATCAGTTTCGCGCTATAACAAGGAGACAAACACGAACATATCGCAGCCTCCAAAAACACACGCATACATTACACGCATGCATCTTGCACACAGGGGAGGGCGTCTTTAAATGACCATAGCTGTTGATAAGACGTTAAACAATACTTAACCAAACCAAACCAAAGGCAGGCAATGTGGTTTCAATCAAGTGCGCCACATGCATCGGGGAAGTTCCACATTTCTAAGAACCTGTCAGCAATTGGACGCAACCCATCAGGAGTGGTTGGACAATCCATGTACTCATCGATGATGGCTTGACCGACTTCTCGGACGACGAGTGACGGTGTTGTGAGGGACCATCCACCCGAACATCATCGAGTCATACTTGCTCCCAGAGGCAATGTGTCGCAAAGTGAGGTCAAGCTTCAGGCCAGGCTGGATCGGGTCCCTGTAGATTGTATGTTGTTTGGTTATCCTGTGACCCACTCTGGCTAGCAGCTCGTCGAACATCTCGGGGGGCATCCGCTTGAAGTTCTTCTCGAAAGATGCCTGGTCCTCAATACGGAGTTAAACCAGAAGCTGGCCCGACAGGCCAAATCGCCGTCGCCTCTCGATCCATGGTCTGACCAAAACAAAAAACGTTGACCTCTCCCCTCCTTCTCCTATTGCCACGGAACTGGTAAAGTGCCAATTAGTTGAGATTATGATTAACGTTGGAGGATGATTTCGAAGCCCCTCAAGATCCTCCTTTTTCTCTGAGGGTGAGTTGAGCAGTCACTATAAAGACACAACACGCTGGATATACGCCAATAATACGTAACGCATAAATAAGTTATACGTCCGTATACGTTGCAGATACGTTAGTTACAGGTAAGTAAGTAAGTAAGACGTACGGTAGCTGTGTATCTCAACACATGAATAACGTACCTATAACCTATGTTAGCGTGTGTCTAACGTATATCTAGCGTATGTATAACGCATGAAGCATACGTTCCATACGTCGAAACATGTTGTGCTGTTAACGTATATAACTTATGCATAATGTACCCTAAGCCTATATCAGCGTTTTTGAAAGAAAAAAAGTGTCATACGTTGGGGTTTTACGTTATGGTGTGACTGCGCTTCAAGAAAGATATAGAAAACGGATTTAAAATGTTGACACAGATCTTGGTGTATCGATGTGACCGAATTTACCCACGTGATCGAAGTTGCTCAACCTTCTACTTTATAATGAAAGTTTACTTATTTATATGCTTTTTCCGAATTTGTGGTGCAAAATTCAACGTAAACTAAACGAAGGAAACGCATTTTTTGACATTTATGCATCGGGTTCAACCCCTATACAGCGATTTGTGTTACCCACTGCATGTATCGTTAGAGGCTACTAATGGGTGAACCCCCTGCATAATTGGGTAGTTTCTTTTAAACACTGTTCTTGGGGACACAAAAACGAAAAAAATAAGTCATTGCAATACTTGGAATCTATATATTTCTTTCTCCTTCT